TCCCCTCCAGCATGCCCACCTCGCCCCACAACTTGGTGTTGTCAGCGAATGTTTCAGCTATGGACAGACCTACAACCCCCATGCCCTTCAGGGTTGTTTTTGCAGTGCTTTTGCCATTTCTAGAGCACCCCAAATGGGGAGACAGACAGACAGACGCACGTGCCCTTTGGAGTGTTTCAAATGTTACACCTGTTCCCACCCTGAAGAAATATTCCAAATCGTTCTGGCCAGTGCTCTCGGCTTTTGACCTGTAAACCCATGGCCCTCAAGCTCTCTCCCCGATCCCCTCCAGTCTACCTGGACCTTTCCAAAGCTAAAAGCAAGGCGACCTTTTGTACTACAAGGATGCTGTGGAATACAGAGCTCCATCAGACACAAGTGGCCTCAGCGAGACCCCACGATGCAAGCAATCATATGGGTCAAACCCAGCCAGCCCTGGGCCCCAAAGGCCTACCAATACTCTCAATACAAACTCTGTTTAGGTCTGCCTCTGCAGAGATAGCACACAGGGGACCTAGGAAAAAAAAAAAAAATCAGTCAAAACTGTTCATTTCCATTACAGAAGTCCAGACCTAAGTCTAGCCAAAGCTTTGTACAGACTCAGGTCATGTTAAGAAATCATTGCCACAGGCCATCCAGGGACAACCTGGACAGCAGAACACACCTCCCCCCCCACCATATTCTCCCATCAAGAAACACCTGCAGCTGAACCTCGCCTTATAGACAGAGATAATAAAGGTAGTAAATACTAAACATCAAAGTTTGGGGAAAGCATATCCAGGAGCTATGGAGACATATTCACAAGACTGTTCATCCAGTCTCTTATCGAGACTCTCAACAGGATTGCCATAGAGGTGCACCCATTCAGTAAGACCATTTCAAATCAAAACAGGAAAAGCCTTCCCAAGGGGCTACACAGATTCAATTAAATCGGCGTCATTCTCTCCTTGAGGCAGGACCTCAAGCACTGACCACCTGGGAGTGAAACCAGGTCAGCGGCACATTCAGAGCCAGAGGTTGATGCAAGACCACCACTGGAAACAGATGTGCCCGCCAGCATGCAGTTGCTGCTCTCCCGAACACCTGCGCTAGACAAACTCTTGCCGCAGACCCACCTCACTACAGGGTTTCCAGCACCACTGTTCACACGGTGACCCCACGTCAAGACTGAAATTGCTTTTAGGAACTTTCTAGTGCTTTTGCTAATGAGGAGGCTGGCAACAAGGGGACTGGAGAGGGGGAGGGGGCCTCTGAGGCACATGCTTATGATCTCTCTGCAGTACCAATGACAGAGTGCTCCCCTACTCTGTAATCACTAGTTACCATGAAACGTCTTTCCATAAGAATCTGAAACTGGAAGGAGAAATGCATTAAGCTGTTGTTAAAAGCAAGCGTGCATGCATGTTGGGGGAACTTGAGTAGCTGAACCTGGAACGGCCTTTGTACTGGTCGATTAATAAAATCTGCAGTGGTTTAAGCTTCCTTCACATTACTGCCCAGGGGTGCAAAGCACTCACTGCAGAAAGCAGCCGGTCGGCAACACCTTGATGCACAGAGGAAATGCAGCATCGCTCCAAGTCCAGACTGTGCCTCAGAGCCAAAGCTCCTTGCACAGGCATTGCTCTGACTCGCCCTGCGCCAGGGAACAGGTGCCAGGGGCTCAGAAATGCTGCTCAGAGCGACCTGGCATGGAAGGAAGAGCGGGAGAATCTCTCGTTCACCACCCTGACGCCTCCTACCTGCACTGAGCAGCACGTTGCGTGCGGTCGGATGCCAGGCCACGATGCCAACTCTTTTCGAATGGCCTTCTAACACCACCACGGGCTCCGTCAAGGAGAGAGTGAGGCCATTCTCTGGAATCTGCCACACCTGCCAAAGAGGGAGGGGAAAAGAGTTACAGGACAGCCATCACCTCTAGGACACATACTCCTTCTCTCTTTGAGGTATCGGTAATACCTGGCCCCTGTGAACTGGGCCAGAAAGCGGAGGTGGGGGAAAACCATTCACTAGCCCCTAGTACATCTCTCTGCAGATGGGCATGCTAAGAGTTCACATCTCCATCCTTCTCCTGCCCAAAGAGACAACCACTTCCCTTTAAATAAAAAGACACTGTCCTGGATCATGGGATTCAAAGAAATTGTCTTGCACTTCAAAAGTGCCTCTGAGCCAGCTGGTGCATTTCTGAACAGCAGCTGTCCTCTCTGGGAAGGATCAAGCAGCCATTTCAGAGTTTGGGTTTCCACTTTTAACAACAGCAGCTGTGAGTGGATTAAACAGCTTTGCCCATTGGTTTCAGCATCAAATTAGAAGTCTGGTTTCTGCTGTGGATTCATCCGGGGAGCAAGGGTTGGTGACAGTGAAGCTTAGAAAGGTGCGTCGGCATCGTCCATGCAGACAGCACTGCTGGCTTTCTTCCCTTCCAGCCCCTTGTGGGATCCGTGTAGGGCAAGAGGTCTCTTCCCATGGCGAGAAGATCCCGTTCAAAGGGGGGAAAGCCCAAACACCAAAGATCAGGCTCCTTTGAGTCCTTCATGTCAAATCAGGACAGTGACTCACTGCTGGCCATCCATTCCTGAATCCAACCTGACCTATATATAGTAAAGACACAAAACACCAAGCGATGGTAGCTACACACCAATAGATGGCAGCAGAATGGCAAATTGTTTCCGTCTTCTATTGTTTGGGGTTTTGTTTCATTTTTTTCCCCCCCAGAAAGAATCAGATCCTTCCCATAATACTCAACAGTAAACCGTCAGAGCCAGGTCCTCTGTCAGCTGGTACGAGATGCAATTCAAGTGGATTTTGGAAAATGAAGTGGGCACGCGCAGACACGCCACGAGGGCAGCACGGATTTCAGTGCTAATCTCCATCTCTCCCCCTCACAGAGCAAGGGGGCTGTACGCCACCCCCTTCTCCCCCTCCGAGGACGCCAGGCCTCCTGATTGCTTCCTCCTGACTGCAAAGGCAGCAAGAGGGAAAGCACTGTGCAGTAAGACAGAGAAGCGCCCCAACGGCACTGCCCGTCGCCCTCGCCTGCCCAGTGCGCCTGGCCATGCTACAGTCGAGAGACAGCTCTGCACCGTCAGCTTTGGGAACCAGAAGAAAACCCCGTGGGTGGTGATAGTTTTAACAGGGGTGCTGCTTCTAGCATCTCACCATAAGTGCGGGTTTGTTTTTTTGTTTTTTTTTTTATAGAAAAACCAATATATCTGCACAGATTACAGTCATACTGTGCAAGGCCTTTCCTACCAACAATCCCCAAATGCTTCATACACCACCCGGGAACAGAGAGCAGGTCAGTCTCACGGTCCAACGTGGCTCTGGTCATTCTGGGGATACTGCCAAGCGAGCTAGCTGCCTATCCTTCAGGCAGATATCCGTCATCAAGGTCAAACTTACTCCATTCAGGAGCGGTGGAAGAGCTATCAGCTAGAAACAATTTCCCCTTTGTATTGACGTAGGCCAGACTTGAACCCGAAAGACAAGAGACGCTCTCTAGCCATGACCATGTCTCTCTACTGGAGCTCTGGCACCATCCGATACCCCTGCTCTACATCCCCTCCAGTCGCTTTCTGAGGGAAAAAAACCTGTGGGGCAGGGCTTCCAGCAAAGAAATAATTTGCTACACTGAGGAGCTCAAGAAGGAGCTATGCACTGGGGTCCTGCACTCATAAATACCAGGGAAATAAATAATAAAAACCTATAGGCAGGCAAATGCTGAGACAAGGGGAACTTGGGAAAGGGAAAAGCCACTTGCATTTCACAGCAGCTGCAGATCAGTGTAATCCTCTGCAGATTACAGACACGATCAGCCTTGTAATCCTGCTTGGTACTGCAAAACCAAGGAGAGTAAAAGGTCAGGGTTCCTCTTCAGGGTGCAGCATCTCATTGGTATGGGATGAAGTCAGAGACAGGGGAAGCCAGGGAGCTTCCACGCTGGATGCAGGGCCCAGTTAGCTGATCACCCAGAATAACAGATGCAAAGGAGACCTTGCAAGATCCATTTCTTTGACCTCGGGAACAATTTCTACCGCCTCCATTTTCTGAGTCAGAGCCTCTGAAACCACCTGCAGTAAAAGGAAGTGAAACCGTGATGAGCTGGCATGCTGCAGCTCAGCGCCTAGGGGAAGGATGCTTCTGCCATTTTGCAGCACCACTTCCTTTGCGCCCTTACCGAACGTTGATAGCCGGCTCTGCTCGTACCCTCCGCACAGCATAGAGAGGAGCTTGGTGAGTCAGGACTAGAGGTGATACGTTCATAATCATGTACAGTTTTAGCTGACAGCCTAGGAAGAGGCTTTATACGTAGCGGCTGAAGCCAAGACGTGTGTCTGAAGACCTGAGGTTCTAGGTCCCAGCTCCACCCATGACTGCATCGCCTTGGGGAGATGACTTTGCCTTTCAGCACCTCCGTTTCCACATCTGTAGGAGGAGGAGAATGTCTCACGCTCTCGCAAGAGGCCCTTTGTCGTGCCACGTGCCTCCTTGGGCATCCAAACAAATCTTTTCCTGGGCATCTCAGGTGTCCAGATACGGCACTAAGGGCCATAAAAGCATTAACAGAACCAAACCCATTGCCAGTCCGATGCTTCCGGTCATTACAAGGGCTCTAGGTCAGTTTTTGAAATATTCAGCACATGAAGAGTTTATTAAATTCTTTGCCCAATCAAGCCCTCTTCCATGGGCTGATTTTCACGCTGACAAACCAGCCACTCACTTTTATGTAAAAGCATTGCTCACTTGTGCTGACATGAATTCCTGTTTTCAGAGCCATTTCCAGCTGAATTAAAAAAAAAAAAAAATACAACTCCCCCTGCAGTGAAGTGCAGTTGTTCAAAAGGGGCTACAACATGAACATTTAACTAGTTCCTTATTTATTGGCACAAGAAAATCATTCTTCAGAGGGAATATCCAAAAGAGGCAGCAGAATGAATCTGCATCCTAAAAGGGGCCTTCCGAAAGCAATGGAGATGGCACAAGGATTGCTCAGTGCAGATGGGGCAGGGATTGCTCATCCCATTTTTCAGTTGAAGAGCAGAGAAATTAGGTAGGAAAGGATAGTCCTTTATATTCCTATCATTAAGGCCTAGGGCCTCAGTCAGATTGCAATCCCATTAGACTGCGCACACGCACTCAGTCGGAGCCCATGACCCATGCACCGAAGAGCCTGCAGCTAAGTTCTGGAAGAGTCACAGAAGTACACGTGATTAAACGATGCCAGTCCAATCTGGACAAGCTCATCACTGGCTGCGTGGCTGATTTGGAAGACATCTAGTAGCTCAGCTTTCCAATGTCAGGGAAGCAAACTGGTCTGTGCCAATGCCACTGCTTTTTCCATGCAAAGACAAAAGAAGCAGGTTACTCCAATCTCCTAAAGACCCTGCTTCTGCAGAACAGAGAAGGCCATGAGATTTTGTTGTTGCTTTTCTCCTTCTTTTGACCCAAAGCACAGATGCAGGTTGTGTGTTCGCTCAGGCTGGTAGAGCTGCTGTCACGAAGGCGGTGTTGCAGGGATCAAGTTGGACTAAAGACGTTCAAAAACGTGAACATGCTCATGCTTATACCTGAGCTTGCACTTCATGCATTTCACTTGGACTTCACCCTCCGATCCCTTTTCCACTGAAGATCAACAAAGGCTTGGCAAAGGCCTAAAGCATTATAAAGCAAATCACCCGCTAAACGAACACAGGCTCCGGGGCAGGACTCCCCGTGGCCTGCACTAAACTAGAGCTGCTACCAGACTTGAGCGAGGTTTATCCAGCACCCACAGGGCACTTGCTGAGTCAACAGCATCTGAGCTTTCATTTGAACAAGCTTCTAGCCCTCCCAGTTGCAAAGTTTATCTACCCTATAAAACATGTGTGCAACCGACCTCATAGAAAACCTGAAACATGGCTCAAGGAGGCACCCTCAGCCCCGTTAATCTCAACAGGCTGTTAACAAAGGTCTAAAAACACTTCACAGGCCATTAACTACCTAATTAAGACCATTTTTTTCACTGGGACCCCAGGAAGTGTAATACTTGGTAGTTACTGCTGGAGAAAAAATGGGAGAACAGAGACAGAAAACAGCAAAAACTATGACAAAAAGAGCAGGAACAGGAGCGTCCGTCTGGGCCAGAACATTTTGAAGCTCAATGAT